GTGCAATGAAAAGCATATAAATTTTCTATAAGTGTTTCATGGTTGTGGATGGTAATAACTTTTGAGCGTTATGGACCCTTCTGGGTCTTACTTTCTATGTGTTTTGTTTCAGTGTCTAACTAAATAAGCAGGCCAATATGCTACAATTGACATGAAAGGGAAGTAGGAGATGCTGCCAGTATAGGACAGAATAAATGTAAATAAAAGCTAAAAGAGAGCCAAGTGATGGCGGCTTATTCCTAGAATCCTTGCTACTCAGGAGGCAGAGATCTGAGAACCAGGGTTTGGTGCCAGCCAGGACACTTTGGAGGCAGCCAGAGCAGACAAATCCTGGAGAATCCCATCTCTGTACAACCAGGAAAAAAAACAAAAACAAAGCCAACTGCAAGTGGAGGTGTGGCTCAAGTGGTAGAGCATCAGCTGGGAGCAAAAAAGCTGAGTACCAGTATACACACACACACACACACACACACACACACACACACACACACACACAGAGTTAAAAGAGTGAATAGATTAGTGACTCTGGCTGGTGGGATGTGGATACAGAATGAGAGCTAGGGGTGTCTTGCATGTAGCTGGGGAGGTTGGCCTAGCACCCTCACATCCTCCTTAGCTCCTTCCCCTAAGTAGCTAGGATTACAAGTGTGACCGACCCACTATGCCTGCCTAGAGAACACATTTTTAATTCTCCTTCACTAACAATCACTGTCTTGGCTTTATTTATTTTTTATTGCCTGTCATGGGGCTTGAACTCAGGGCCTGGGCATCATCTCTGAGCTTCTTCAGCTCAAGGCTAGCGCTCCACCACTTGAGCCACAGCGCCACCTCAGGCTTTTTTCTGTGTATGTGGTGAACCCAGGGCTTATGTATGCTAGGCGAGTACTCTTCCACTGAGCCACATTCTCAGACCTTGGCTAAATTTTATTAATGTCTCTTGCTTTCTATTTCCCTCTGACTTATGAATTTATTCCCCCGAGGAGAAAATTTCCCTAGGAAAAAAAATTTCTCTGGGAATAGGTATGCAAAGCAAATTGTGTTCCATTAAATACTTAACAATAAGTACACAAAAGTTGGACTCACCTCAGGGAATCTAAGAGATATACTTCATGTCAGGTCACAGTATGTTTTCATCCATCCATCCCATAATTACACATTTAACAAGTAGCTGTCCAGCACTGCATAAGTCTCTGCCCGGTATGGAATCGGTGAGATTCCGAGCCGGATCTCTGCACACTGATGGCCCGATAGGAGCGCTTGACAAGTGAGTAGACTGATAAATCATATGAAAATCATTGAATCGAGGTGAGCCCACAGCATTCTGGGAGCCCAGGCCAGGGCTCCCAGCCGACCTGGAGGCAGGCATGTGGTCTTCCCCATCTGGTTTAATAATAAATTTACATACTATGTTGTCTCTACTCCTTCCTGTGATTCTCAGTAGTGGCCTTTGGCCAAAGCCAATGCAAATCTGATCCTGTTACTTTCTACAGAATGCTGCTAACTCTGCGAATCTATTGTTTAATTGTCTAGAGGAGTAAAGGGAACCAAGGCTTTCACCAGACTCTGAAAGCTGTGTGCCTGAAAAATGGCGTCTATGCCTCCAGGACTCTGGCCAGAATTGACCTGAATGAAGCCATCACTCGGCCCATCTATGACCACATCGACCCTGTGTTTGGAGACATTTTTAGGTAAAGGATCTTTTTGCTGTGTGCACAAATGTCTGCAGAATGTCGAGCCAAAGTCTCAGCTGTAAGAATTTATTCTTTGGCCCTGCAAGTGTAAAGTATAGCTGGTTCCTTGAGGAAGAAAGCTTAGCCTTTGGCAAAACACAAAAGTCTTCTAGGTTTGCTTTACTTACAAAAATTTCCCATGGTGACCTGGAGTCCAGTCTCAGATGTTACTTTCAGACTAATATTATGATTCCCAGTATTTTTTAAATATCTCCTGCATACAGAGCAGAGGATACATTTTCTTAGGATTTTGAGCCCAGGACGCAGTATTTTAATTGGAGCACATGGGATTTAAGCAAACACATGGTCTTCTGAACTTTTCCTGAATGCAAAAAAAAGAAAACAGTTTCTGACAGCTGCATGCTCATGAGCATGAGCTGAGCCGGGAGCAGAGGCCCTGCCTGCCCATCTTCCCCGATCCAGTTCTGTTGCCCACCCTCAGAAGGAGCTTCTCCTGCTCCCTAGTGACGTGGCTTGTCTCCCCTGTCTCCCCGGGCATTTCAGCTGGTTGATCTACTGACCAGCCACTGCTCTAGCCATTGCTCCTCAGCACCCTCTCTGCTCCACTCCTCTCTCCCAAAATCTCTGGTATTCTTGACCTCCCCTCCCTTGGCAGCTGTGGGATATACCCTAGATCCTCTACATGGCTTTCCACACCTTCTACCACCTCCCAACTCCCTGTACCCTGTGAGTGCCAGCCTGATGGGGAGCAGAGAGCAACCCTCTCGGGCATTGTGTTGAACACCTGCACACATTAATTATGTCATTGCGCGATTCCAGCAGTCTTACCCATGAATGAGCTGAAATTCAGAATAGTCTGACTTCCCAACCAACCATGACAACCAACCATGAGTAAAAAGCTAGACAGGTTCAAGCCAGACACCAATGGCTCACACCTGCAATCTTTGCTAGTCAGGAGGCTGACATCTGAAGATTGAGGTCTGAAGCCAGCCTGGGCAGGGAAATCCCCAACACTCTTATATCCAGTTAGTTAGCAAAAGGCTGGAAGTGGAGGTGTGGTTCAATTAATAGAGTGCAAGAGCAAAAGGCCCTAAATTCAAGCCTGGACTGCCTGCAAAACACTCCATAACCTGCTGCTTCTTGTTCCTGGGCATTCTGAAATCTCAGCCATTGTCTTGTCCATGAGGATTAATACTTCTTTTCACTCTCTTACATCTGAGCTGAGTGTTAGGTTGGAGTTCAAGTCCCACCCTTTCCAGCAGGGAACACTTTGGCAGTACAGAAGTAAAGAGTTTAGTGGTGACAGCAGTGTTCAGAGCTGGTACTTGCCCTTACTATGTGAGCTGGGACCCATTAACCTCTCCTCAGAGCCTCAGTTTTCTCATCTATAAAATGGGCATCAGTCACCACTGATTGTATAGGAGCTTGTGTCAAACGTCGTACACAGCATGGTGCCTGGCCCATGAGAGGAATGTGACAGCTGTCAGGTCTTGCCACTGTTCTCTCTAAAGGAAATGAAGGACGTCAGCTAGTTCAAGCTTGATTTCATTGTCTCAACTACCCACGCTGTTTCTCCATAGGGCAGGCAAGCCCGCCAGCTCCGCCCTGATGCCTCTCATAGATGCGTTTAAACACTCCCTGCAGGAGAAAATGACAGAAATCAGGATAAGAAATGGCTGGAAATATGACAGCTACAAGAAAAGTTTCCTGATCCAGGAGGTATGTTCCTTATAAAGCAGAGCAGATGGGCAGGACTTGAGGCTCCATCTCTTTCCACTTGTACCTCTAAAGCATTCAGGGACTGGACGTACCACTTGGAGACCCTGAGAAACATGGACCATAAACAGACAAGGGCTATTTAGTAAGTTAGTTATTTGTATACCTCACCAGTTGGTTGTGAGGACAGACAGGACTTGTCTGTGGCTCTCTCTTCCGCAGCCAGCTCCAGTCTTATGGCAATGCTGAGAGACAGCTGGCTCTTCCCTCAACTTCCTGTCCAAAGAGAGCTTGTTCCAGAACCCTGCCTGGGCCTGGATTCAACTCATAACATACCTACAGAGATAGTTTGTAGGAGCCAGGCTCCATGGAAGCATTCAGGGGTATGAGGATTCTGAGGGCCAGACGCTGGCCCGTGAGGTGCTGACAGCGAGTCGCAGCCATGACATAGAGTCGGCCATCACAGGAAACGGAGGGGAGTGGCCAGATGCAGACATGCCCGACCTGTCCCACATGGTCTTGTGTTGGTGTGGCTTCTCAGATCAGTGCCATCCTGGGAGGCCTGGAGGGCTACATCCTCAGAAGGAAGAGGAGAATCTATGAGTCTGTCACCAGCTCTGTCCAGAGCGACCTGAAGCCCTGTTATGAAGGTGGGCTGGGGAAGGGAGGATGATGGGGGGAGAGAAGGGCTTCCTTTTGCTCAACCTCTGGGGTCTTGTAGCTCCTTAGCATCCTAGCATCCTTCCCGCATCTTAAGTCCTTGTAGCTCTCTCTGTGTACACCTTGGAACTGGGTAATTGCAGGGTGTGAGGAAGAGGGATTGAGCCATCCCTGCCTCTGCACGTTTCCAGCTCACATTCTTTATATTCTGTTTTTTTTTTTTACTTTTTTGCCAGTCCTGAGGCTTGAACTCTGGGCTTGGGCAATGTCCCTGAGCTCCTTTTGCTCAAGGCAAGTGCTCTACCACTTGAGCCACAGCTCCACTTCCAGCTTTTTTGAGTGGTTTATTGGAGATAAGAGTCTCATAGAGTTTCCTGCCCAGGCTGGCTTTGAACCACTATACTCAGATCTCAGCCTCCTGAGGAGCAAGGATTAGAGGTGGGAGCCACCAGTGCCTGGCAACTGCTCACATTCTTATGAGACTGACATTCAGGACTCTTGATTTTGGGGGGGAAGGAGGAGGATTGTAGTCTACTTAATTTTCTCATTAGGTTTTCTGAATGATAGTTATCTGAATATTAAGTGTTATTATATGCAAATAGCTATATGCATGGTTGTAGATGTATTGATACGTGTGTGTGTGTGTCTAGTTTTCTTCGTCTGCTTGGTCGCTCATTTCCCTTTCTGATGCCACAGGCTTCTCAGCAAGTCCTTGTAGTGTGACCGTGGCTGTCATTTTTGCAGAGGCAGCTCAGATCACTGGCAGAAAAGCATGCGAGAGGATGAAGGACGTCATTCGAAGAGGGGTGGAGCGACAGGTGGCCGAGGGCATGTTTGAGAGGGCTCAAGAGCGGATGCAGCACCAGTTCCAGCTGCTGAAGGTATTCATTCTCTGCGCAGCCTCAGCGTGAGCCCTGTCCCTGGAGTCCTCTGTGGGGCGTGGGGGAGGGCTGCAGTAGGCATGTGAGCACGGGAGGAGTTAGATGACTTCTCCCTCATGGGCCCAGCCTGGGCCAGAGAGGAGGCCCCTGCTGCTCAGCTTCCTCTCTTCCCATCCTCCAGTGTTGGTGTCAGCACTCCTCTGGGTCTGGGGCTACAGGTTTGTAGTCTGCTCAGCTCTTTCCTCTGTCCTTCTTCTTTAGTAAGACACTTGAAGACAACAACTGTAATAGGTAGGCAGCTGCATTAGCTCAAGTCTGGGAGGTGGGCACTGTTACTGTGCTCCTCTGCATTCTGTACAGTGAGGGAGAGTCAGGATGCCGCACGCTCGCTGAGAGGAGGAGCTAGGGCTGGGGATGAGGTAACCTGGCTACAGCATCTCAGTAGTTGGACAGCTTTGGGTTGAGTCCAGCTCTCTCACTATATGGTTCTCAAGAGTCCTCTTAGACGTTGAGGTATCTGTTAAGAACATGTGGACCTCTTGTTGTAGACCTGGGTCTCTTGGCTTGCCACCTCTTCCCATCAAGTGATAGAAAGCCTCTTCTTAGTCCAATCCACTCCATACCCCTCCCTAACCTCGTGAGACTTCAGATTCTTCTGTCTAGTTCAGCCTTGGCTGAGAGCTGGCCATGACTGCACCAGCCTCCCTAGACCCTCGGCCTGCCTCTGTCCAGCCCCCTCTCCTCTCAGCTCCACAGCCCAGGCAGCCAGCCTCCCTTGGGTAGGTGAGAGCCGCCTTGTCTACCAGCAGCAGTTCAGTTTCAGGCAGGCAAAGTCACCACCTGCACACGGGTGCTTGCAAGAAACAGCCCAGCTCCTCCAGGCTGACCTCCACCAACTATGGAGAAATCAGATCTCCAGGTGCTCAGAAACCAGTTTCCCGAAACAGTGATTCCTACGCTGGCTGTGTACCAATGTACCCTAATCCCAGCAACGTAAGAAGTAAAAAACGGGCAAGATCCTAGGGCGTTCTCGTTCCCTGGAGGGTGTCCAAGACAAGAAGACCACTCTAGTTTAAGTGTTTGAAATATTTTAGTTCTAAATGGACAGAATTTCTTTTTACACATATCTGATGTTTGAGATTTTACTGCCTTACCTTTTTACCATGTTCTTTTCACTGAAGAACGAAAACAATGATCTGTTGAATGTCCTGCCTGGTCTTCGGTACATGATTCGATGTGTGGCCAGCTGGGCGGTTTGGCTCTGTCATAAGGGATCTTACACACAGGAATCCTGAGGCCATGGGCATGGACGTGACTCGCTCAAGGCTACCCCTTTTAGTCTGGCATTAAAGAAGTATCAGATTTGGAGTCAGGAGATCTGGGTTCAAAACTGAGCCCACCAGGCTAAAGAAAGGAGTTGGGTATTTTCCAAAAAGAAACAGAAACAAGCAAAAGGAAGAGAAATGGTTGTGGTCAAGAAAAGAGTTGAGAGCAGCAAGAAGCCATTGTTCAGGCCATCGGGAAGAAGAATCAGATCTGTCCATCAAAGTGTGCTGCACAGAGGAGGTGTCAAAGCACCACTATCCAAGGATGGACAGCAGGAAAGGCCGAGGGTAATACCAGCCCTGTCCTTTGTCCGTCTTGTGGTTGGCATCCTTGCCCCACCTCCTCTTTCGCTGTTGATTCCCAGATCAGCAGCAGCGGACACTTTCCTGGAGTCTTGATAGGCTGGAAAGGAGAGATGCTGCCTTCTGACCCCTGGGCTATGAGTGCACCCCAAACTCCTTTACCCTTGACCTGGCTTGGGCTCCGGCAAGGCCATGCTGTATCCTCTTGGCTCGAGGGCTGAGTGAGGTTCTTCTACAAGATTCACAGTGTTAACGGACAGCCTGTGCTTGTCTTGTAGCGTGGAATCACAGAGAAGATGAAGGGCAGTGTTGCCACCATGCTGACCCTGGCTTCCTCCCAGGGCGACAGTCTCTGCAAGGAGCTGGCTGGTAAGTCGTAAAGCCTGCGCATGAAGGGACATCATGCCCACACCCCTCCTGTCACCACGCTGCTCCCAACGAAGTTCAGAAAATCAAAATGGGAGGAACTGGGGCTGGGAAGGTGGCTCAGTGGTAGAGCGCTTGCCTTGCATGCATGAGGCCCTGGGTTCGATTCCACAACACCACATAAGCAGAAAAAGCCGGAAGTGGCGCTGTGGTTCAAGTGGTAGAATGCTGGCCTTGAGCTGAAGAGCTGAGGGACAGCGCCCAAGCCCAGAGTTCAGGCCCCACGACCCCCCTTCCCACTACCCCCTCCCCCCCCACACACAGGGAAGAACTTCTGGGGTGTCGGTGGAGACGATGATGCTAATCACCACTGGCGCCAGCTTTGCCAAGCACCTTGTGCTCCGACTTTGTGGGCACTGCCGCGTGGAGTGTCACATTCACTCTCAGAGACGGCGCTGCTGACAAACAGACTCTGATGATGAGAGAAACTCAGGTTCCATCTCCGCAGTGGCAGTGGCCAGGCCTCGATTCTGCCCTTCTGTCTCGCATATCCCTTCAGTTTGGCTTATGTCTCTTGGAGAAAAACTCCATGTTCTGGGGGCGGCGGGAAAAGGCCCCTCAGAACGCAGCAGGACCTGGGAGAGGCAGCACCAGCTTGCCCTGTGTCCAGCAACCACTTCCCTTTCCTGCCAGGACCCGCACCAGGCTGCCTGGGTTCGCGTAGGGGTGTGGAGCAGGGGTAGGCACGGAAGAAGCTCCCACTGGGAATGTGGCACTTCTGTAGAGACCCGGGGGACCCGGGGGACCCGCCCAGGCCCCATCCACACCCGAGGTGATGGTTCAGCGAACACAGCTGGTCAGGCTGGAGACTGTGGAAGCGTCTGCCAGCCAAGTCCTCAGGGTCCTCTGGAGGCTGGGGATGCAGGGGTGCCACGGGGTGCCACAGAGACCTCATCAGGCTCCTTGGGGGCCCCAGTGGCTCTCTCAGGGACTTCGTTCCGTGAGTAGCTGTGGTTCTTCCCAGGCTACAGGAAAGGGGGGATTGTGTGGACAGAGCCAGGCGATGCGTCAGCCAGCGCATTGTGCTCCTCTGTCCAGCCATCTCAGACCGTCCACTCCGGGACAAGTGGCCGGGTTGTGTGTGGGGGGGGGGTTTCCAGGGGCCAGCTCTGAGGGGTACGCTAACCCCTCGTGGCTTGCCTTCTTCTCTTCATAGACGTCAGGAGTGAATACAAGGAGATGGAAAGGCTCCACCGCGGCCTGCGGGAGGCTGCTGAGAACGCACAGCTGCGCAAGGCCATGCAGGACTTCCTTCTGGGAACGCCCCCCCGCAAAGCGGGGGCCCCCCAACAGGACTCTCACTCCCGGGGATTAGCCTCAAGGGAATGAAGAATAAACCTGGAGCCAGCTCACCAGAATTACTTCCGTTGTTTGAAATCAAATGAAGAATATCTCTCAAGCCGTGTGCTGGAGGCTCCCTCCCACCATCCTAGCTACTCAGGAGGCTGAGATCCTGAGGATCTCAAGATGAAGTCCGTGGGACGCCATCTTGAGAAGAACCAGAGAAACACCAGGCTGGAGGCCTGGCGCCAGTGGTAGAGCGCCATCCTTGAGCAAAAAAAGCCAAAGGAGCACACAAGGCCCTGAGTTCTGCCTAGTCTGGCTTTGAACCTCCATCCGCACATGTCAGCCTCCTGAGGAGCATGGATTACAAGCTTCCGTCAGTGGCGCCCGCCACTGTGTTAGTTTATATCCGGGAAGGCAGGGGAATGAGTCTTTTTGAGTGTACATCATCCTACAGTAAGAATGAGACCGTTTCCTGTGCTCAACGACAGGAAGGACCCCATCGTTCATAGAGTCTGTCATTACCTGACAGTGTCCCCCGCAAATGAGGTGTTACGATGTTCAAAACAGCAGCCTCCGCATTCCCCTGCCCGTGAGGTGCTTCAGACGGTGTGCGCTTCCCAGCCCGGACTACAGGCGCCTGGCCTCGCTTCCCCAGCCCGGGACTTAGCAGGTGCCTGACCTCCGGCCTGCGCTTTCCCTCCCACTTCCTCCCACCCCAGCCGAATTACCCCAAACACAATGAATGCGTCTGTTTATTTTCTTCCGCTGAAATCCCATGTCATAACCCAGACTTGCCCGCCATGCTCTCAAGTGCACGGCTTAATCTGAGAAAATTGAAAATGACCCGTGAAATCTGGGTTGGAGGCTGATGATCCCCCCGTGATAAAGCCTTGGTGTGTTTAACATCCTCTGTGTGTAATTCCTCTGAAAGGCACTGGCAAGTTCTTGGTTTTGGAAAAGAGGCAAGTTACAAGACACCATCTTCCTCCTGAGCATGCTGTGGAGGAAATGGCAGAACTGGGCTCAAGTTGGAAGTTAAGAAAGAAAGCTGTGTGGCGTCAGTAGGGAGAGAGCTGAAGATTGCTGTCTGGGAAACAATGTCTGGACTCCTGGGCCCCGCCCCCCCACCCTTACCCAGCTTCCCTCACTCACCGAAACACACCCCACACCCTGACAGGCCCTGGGACTCCCTGCGTCCCAGGGGCCTAGGCAATGTGGCTACAGTTGCATTTAGCCATGGGTCACAGCCCTGGAGACAGGTGGCTTTTATCCTGTTGATGACAGCACTTGTTCACACTGCTGGGGCTCACTCATCTGGGGGTGCACTTCTGAGTCACCTGGGAAGTGCAAGGAGACCCTGCTCTACACCACAACATAAGCAGAGTCTCCAGCAGTTCAAGCCTGGTGCACTGTGTGTGTGTGTAAAATGTGTGTGTGTAAAATGTGTGTGTGTAATGTGTGTGTGTGTGTGTGTGTGTAATGTGCGTGTGGGGGTGTGTAATGGACATTATGATTAATGCAAACCAGAATCCTAGACCCCTGTGGATCTTGTGATCTGTGCATGGGAGACCTGGCGATCGATCCCACACCCCCACACTCCCCCTCCCCCTCCCTCTCGCCGTGCCCCGACATGGAATGGTCATGCTGTGGTCAGCAGAGTGTATGCCTGAGCCAGGCGGTGCAGCTACGTGGGTGAGTGCTGTGGACGGGAAGGCGGTGTGCACCTCCATCGCGAAGGGCTGTCTTCCTCAACAGGAGAGCGCGGTGTACGTATTGGGTTGACATTTGGGCCCAAAGCCCTTCTCTGTTTCAAGAAGCTGGCTGATGATTCACTCCAGTGGACCTGACGCTGGCTGCCACTCAATGCAGACTTCTCGCTTACACATTGCTTCATCATCTAATTCCCAAAGCGACATGTCCATCATCTCAGCTCCAAGACAGACTCTGTGGAGGCTTCCGTGGATGGCTGGGGTGGGGGGGAGGGTCCCTGCCCGCGGGTCTCTGATGCGTGTGTACAGCCGGGGAGGAGGCTTTGGCGCCTCTGGCCTGGGACCGGCACCAGCGTGAGGGAACCCCGGGCGCCTGGTGCAGTGCGTCATCCGCACGCCTTCTGGGGAGTGAGTTCATAAGACAAGGCAGATGGTGGGGCGGATCCGTGATGGGTGGGAAGCAGCACTGGCCACGCGGCCGTGGCTCCCGCTTCCCTGCTGGGCCTCCACGCCAGCTGTCAGCAGCTGGACACCGGAGTGACCCGCATATAGCGACTGCTCTCATTTGTCAGGGCCTGTCAACTCTGAAAAGGAACAGCAGGCTGACGTCTAGGAAGCGTGTCCGTGTTTCCCAGTGCCTCTCCCACATAAGCACCTTGAGACTGGAAGCCGGGCCTTGCACAGGAGTAGCGGGAATTCTATCCCCGAGCTTCACCACCGGCTGTAGGCTATTTTGAGACAGGGTCTCACTGTATAACCAAGGCTGGCCTTGGCCAAATGATCTCCCTGCTCTGCCTCCAGGTTGCTGGGATTACAGAATGAATGACCATGTGTGACGCTGAAGCTGATTTTTCAGACCAGGTCACTCAAGTTCAGGTCACTCTGTGACTTATATTCCCAGCGTGAAGGAGGGTGCAACGGGTGTGCGATGCTTAGAATGCATCTTCGTCTCTCCACACGCGCTCCTCTGAGCGTGACCCGCCATGCGCCTGGCTGCCGGTGTTGCCTCAACTCCTGATCTCAGGTGTTGGAGGTAGAGGATGAACAAGCCAAAGGAGGCAAGAGGTGCTCAATGCACGGATGATGCACTGACGCCGCTTCTCGGCTTCTGTATCCGTGGTACGTTCCTAATCAGGCAAAAGCCCAGCCCTTCTATGCTAAATGCTCAGGTCTGTTACCTTTACTTTCATAGATCCATCTATCCAAAGCCTACTTATTCCTCTGTCACCCTCTGGGGGAAATTGTCTGCCAGATTCTGGGAGCGGTTGAGTGGAAACCAGCTGGTTTTGAACTGCTGTGATCTGAGGTAACAAGGAGATGAGATCCCAACTAAGAGTGGCCCCCAGATGACTCCCCAGTGGCCTCCAGACCACGCTGACCTCCACTAGCCAGTGGCTTCTTGCCTGTTTGGGCATCTTTAAACACACATGCATGCATGGGCATGCACATGCGTGTGCATGCACACACACACACACACACACACACACCATCAAAAACCCCCCTGCCCTTCACCAGGAGAAGAGATAAATGATAGAATATGGGTGTAGTATAAAATCACTTAGCAAAAAAGAAAAACAAAAACAAAAAGAATGAGCCAGTCAGTCATCAATGAGGGGAAACCTTACCCTTAGTCCTTGAGGAGTGAAGGAAACCAGAAACAAAAGAAAGAAGCGAAGTCTCCTGGCTGGAGCTGTGGGTTGGAAGGAAATGCTGCGTTTCTCCTGCAGTTCTGTTTCACAGCTCTGTGACAACGCATGAGTCTCATGCAGAAAACCAGGTCCTCTGTACTGATGGTGGAGGGAGGCTCAGTTGTTAACTTGTGCTGCCCAGGGGCTTCGCCTTCCTCCTCCTCCTCCTCTTCTTCCACTGCTGCTGCTGCTGCTGCCGCCTTCTACCTCCTCTACTATTGAAAGCACAGCTAGGTGTATAAGAGGAATGGCCTTGCTTTGAAGTGAAATCAGACATCACCAGACAACCACTGGCACTGCAAAGCACAATGTCCCGACTGAGTGATTTAGGGCCAGCAAACCCTTAATTCATTCCGGTTTCTGGAGCTGGAAGTCCGAGGTCCAGGCACCTGTGAGCGGCCCGTTCTCACTGCACTTGGTTTGCGGGGAGGAGAGCCGCTCTGCCGTCCTTTCTCAGCTCCCCCTCCCTCCCCCCACCTTGGGCACCTCTGCATTGAGGATTATGTTTCCAGCAGGTGACTGGGCAGGAGGGGGAGAAGGGGGGGCAGCAAATTCAACCCAGGACGCTCACCCATTGCTTCTGCAGTACAGATCTCCATGTCGTATTCTGAATTCCCTTCTGCTACTTTTAAGATGGGGTTCCTACAGATGTTGGTGACAAAACCCTTTCTTGTAAGAGGTAAGCGGGCTCCCTGCTTACCTCCCATTGAACTGCCTCTGGTGGACCCCAACTCTGCCCTCGCAGGCTGGACGACTGGAACGAGTCACCCATCTGCTGTCTTAACAGCAGCACCTGCCTCACAGCTGACAGTCTACACAGCACGTGCAAGCCCAGCACCCGGGGTTCAAACCCGCCACGGGTCAAAAATGCCCACAACCGAAGAAACTGCATCAGGAGTCAACATGCAACAGAATTCTTTCACTTTAAAAACTGTTTGCATATACCACTTCTGTATAGTTAGCGATAGTAGAAGAGATTTCGTTGTGACGTTTCCATGCATGCACACAATGAATTCCAATCAATCTCCCTCTCATGGATTTTCTTGTCATCATTCCCTAATCAATACAGCATACCAAATATTTATGCACCTTTTTATTAAGTATGATTTAGGGTACACAGGAGGGTGCCTGCAGGTTCTATGCGAATACCATACCTTTTCAAACAAGGGACTTGAACATCAAGATTTCAATATGGGGGCGGGGAGGTCCTAGAACCAACTCCCCCCCTCCCGCCCCCCTGTGGGGACCAAGGGACACAAGTTAGAGGTAACACATGAAAAGCTCTTGGAATCACCCAGCACCAAGTATGTACTAGGATGTGTTCCTCACCCTCTCCTTCTCCACCTTCTTCTTCCTCTTCCTCTTCTTCCCCTTCTCTTCCTCCTTCTCCTTCCCTGTATAGACTCTCTCCTCCTTTTCCTCTTCTTCCTTCTCTTCCTCTGCCCCTTCTATTTTCCTTCCTCTTCTTTTTTTCCCCTTCTCTTCAGACTGCTGTCCTCTCCCCACTTCACTTCCTCCCCTTCCTGTTCTTTCTTTCCTCCTCTTCCTCCTCCCCTTCTTTCTGTTCTTACTCTGAAGATGCTCCTTCTTTGCTTTCCCTCGGGGCTGCCTGCAGGGGGCAGTAGGGAGGGCGGTTCTTGGAAGAGGACTAAGACTCCCGTGTGGGCTGGCAGTTGTGCTGTAAGTGGAACCTTACAGCCTGGCAAGCACTTCTCATGTTCAAAGTCTTCCCCCGAAGCACCGGGGGTGCGTCTCTATCTCACCAAGCAGGATCGTATTTGTGAACATAACCGCTAGGAAACCACTGCTCAGACACCGGTGGGGATTCCTCCCATCCTAATCTACTGATCCCAGAGCATCCGGTGCATCTCCTATTTAAATGGACTTGCTCAGGGCTCTCTGTCTAGCTCCCAGTCCTTTGCCATGCTCCTTCGGGGCCTGGTGTTCTCTAGCCCTGGTGCTGTGTTAATGCCCCACAGACTGGCTTTTGGGATTGTGTTGGTCTTGGCTTTGGGAAGTTCCTGCAGAGCTCTCGGGGCATTCTACGCATCTCTGGTGTGAAAAATTGGAGTCCTCTGAGGGGTGGCATAGAAAGCAGTTCTACGCCAAGTTTGGTGAATGAACTGAGCCATGCCAGTTCCTATAAATACCTTCGCAAGATTGGTTTCCTTGGGTGGCTTTTGGGCCAGATTTAACTGCCATTCCTGCTGAAGCCATCCAGAAAGTGTGTTGAGCAGAGCTTCGGAAAAGGCCAAGGCCGGCTCCGCAGCTCTGGCCAGGGCTGGCCGTGCTGGTGGTGCTGGTGGTGCTGGTGGCGCTGTGCTCTGGCGGTAATGCTGAAGGTGACCACAAGAGGGGGGTCGTGTTCCAGATCCCACCAGCACAGGCTCTGCGGTGACTCCCAGAACTTTTCATAAAGACTGGCGAGGAGCAGCCGCAGCTCCCACTCAGCACCCAGCAGAGTGCGGGGCCTCCACCGAGCCACGCCAGATCGCCGCCCGAGGCTGACTCAGGCGAGACACCCAGACCCGGAGCCCCAGGTGCAGACCCGCACACGTACTTGGCGGACTGGCCGCCTCTTCTCTCTTGACCTGCTCTTTCTGCACAAGTGTCCCAGCAGACCTGCCCGAGGCGGGCCACCGGTGCCCTGCAGCCTCTTTCTATGACTCCTTCTGGAACTGACCTGCTGTGGAGACAAGCTGGGCGGGGCTGCCTGGGTCTCAGCCGGACAGCAGCCAGCGCTCGGATCCTGATGGCGAACTCCAGGAACTGAGGGGACGGGCTCCACGCCTTGGGGGGAGCACTCAGGTGAGTCTCGAGGTTACCTTTGACCCAGCACCTCCTGGGGGCCTGGAGGAGAGCTGGGTGTGCGTGGTGGAGCCTGGACCTGTCTCTGGGGGTCTTGGTGGTGCAGTGCAGAGCTTGAAGGTCCCTGCTGCTGGGGCAGGGGGGGGGGGGAGGGGGGAACGGGGCAGGGGGGGAGGGGGTCCCGGTTGTCTGAGCTTTTGGATGGCCACTGACAGCACTCAGCTACCTGGGCCGGAGAGCCTGAGCTCCCACGGGGTGCCCAAGGATGCTAAGGCTTTGGTGGCAATTCTTCCTGGCTCCTGTCTCAGCTTTAGAGCCTGTTCATGGATCAGAAGGGTCAGGGCACAGCCACTGTGCGTGCACGCGCGTGTGTGCATGCGAGCACACAATGTAAGAGGTTATTTATGAAGCATCTGTACCTCCCCAGCTGTGAGTTCAGGTTAACTAACTGCAATTAGAAAGGGGAGGGATTAGCCTGGTGCTGGTGGCTCACACCTGTACTCCTAGCTACTTAGGAGCCTGAGATCTGAGGATGGTGGTTCAAAGCCAGCCCAGGCAGGAACGTCCGTGAGACTCTTAGCGCCAATGAATCACCAGAAAACCAGAAGCAGAGCTGTGGCTCAAGGTGGTAGAATGCTAGACTTGAGCCAAAGGAACTCAGGGACAGAGCCTAGGCCCCGAGTTCAAGCCCCATGACTGACCAAAAAAACCTCCTTAGAATTCATATGGGGGAGCCACATTTATGACGATTTTTATAAGCTGAATTATTTTATATAATGATTTTTTTTAAACTTGGTTTTAATGAGTTTTAAGCTAGGTGACGCCCGCCACCAAAAGCTTTAAGCCCTGAGCAGTTAGAAGCTGGAACCCACAGAAGAAGTCTCTAGAACATCAAGCTGGCTCCCATCACCCCTTAGCAGGGAGAGCCCATTCAATCCTTCTGGTACCCAGAGGGTCAGGGTCCCAACTCAGCCCTACATTACATCCACACTTGCTTTTTATGTGTATGTGTTGGTACTGGGGCTTGACTGAGGGCTTCACACTCTGACTTGGCTCTTTTGCTCAAAGCTGGTGCCCTCCCACTTGAGTTACACCTCCAAGTCTGGCTTTTTGCTGGTTAATTGGAGATTAAAGTCTCACCGACTTTGCTGCCTAGGCTGAGTTTGAACCATCCTCTGCCTCCTGAGAAGCTAGGATCATAGGCGTGAGCCACCAACGCTGGCCCATGATTACTTTTTGCAAAGCACAGCTTTGTTTCTGGGCCTTGCTGAGCTAGAGGGGAACTCGGGAATCTGAGACCCCTCGTTCTGGGCCAGGTGGTGTTGGCTTTGCCGCCGGCTGCCCGGCGTGACTTTTGTGTGTAAGGTTCTCCCATGCGCATCGCCTCCCGTCCTTCACAGGCCCACTGGGAGGAACAGGTCCACCCTCCCATCACAGGATGACAGAATGGGAAACAGTGGGGCTGAGTGAGCTACCTGGACCGTGGCTTGGATAAGAAGAGGGGCTCTTGCGCTCCGCTCTGCACGCCCCATTCCCAATGCCTGCACCGAGGGCGTGCATGCACCGAGGGTGTGCAAGTCGGCTGCAGGCTTTCTCAGCTGTCAGATGCGGAATCTGGAAGTAGAGCCTCTGCCCTGGGCCGGGGAGTGACTCATAACACCCCGAGGTCAGCACCGCGTCCCTCCCTGTTTACTTGGAGGCCTCACTGGCTGGTGATGCTGCGGTCCAGGCTCTTGGCATCATCCACAAGTTCCCATGACCCCCCCTCCCCCCCCCCCCCCCCCCCCCGCTCTCAGGCCTTCCTGGACCCTGCATCCAAGCACTGCCTCTTACCTTTTTCACCCAAGGCTTCGCTTCACTGCTTGAGTCACAGCTCCACTTCATCAGCTGTTGTTGTGGGGTGGTTCGTTGGAGATCTGCATCTCAGGGTCTTGTCTGCCTGGCTGCCTTCAAACCTCCATCCTCAGATCTCAGCCTCCTGAGTATTTACGGGAGCAAGCCACTGGTGCCCAGTGGTTGGCTTATCTTTGAAATGGGCTGCCAGAAGGCCAGTGTGTGCACCCACCTGTCCAGGGCTTCTGGGGGGCTTACAGGGAGCCCCCGAGAGCAGACGTCTGTGCCCCCAAGGGCTGTGTGCGTACCAGCCATGAGCACCTGGATCAGTGAGCTGTGAGCTGCCTGGAGGCAGGGATTTGATCTGAGGCAGGGGTGAGGCCTCCCATTGAGGCTCCAAACACCTGCCTCTCACTCACCAGGGAAGACACACAGCTCAAAACGCACCCAGGCCAGGCCAAGCATGCTTAGGTTTTATTTCTAAATAACAAACCGCTGAGCGTTTCCAAACGCATCTCCCTCGCATCTGGCCGGCTGTGGGCCCAGCCCCTGCCTCAGCTCCCCGGAGCTCCAGCTCTACCAGCTGAGCTGAGCAGGAACAGGAAGGGTCACCTTGAGGACACATTCCAGATACCAGGCCCTCGAGGCCCCGCGTTAACCGGGACGGGAGGAAGGCAGCCTGGTCTGGGACGGGAGGAAGGCAGCCTGGTCCACTCGGGCCGGGCTCATGATTGCCTTTTGCAGAGCGAGGATTCTCCAAGGAAGGACATCCTGGCCTGCTTTACAGCTCCCCAGGAGTGAAGCCAGAGGGAGGGGAGCCGCACACAGAGCTCACGAGAGGAGGGAGGGTCCCCTTGTAGTGAGCCATGATGGAGCTTCCTGGCGCCCTCCCTGGGCGGAGGCCTGGGAGAGAGCGCCAGGATGAGATTAGCAAATATGGATGCCGAGGGGGTGGGGGACAGACAAGGAGTCTTGGAAAGGAAATCCTGGGCCCTCCCTTTCTTCTCTCCCTCCTAATGACTGGAAGATAGACGGGTTACCTCAGGATTGTGTGTGTGTGTGTGTGTGCGCGCACGCACATGTGCCCAGGTATGGGAACGGAATGTGTCATTCCTTGGAGAGGGAAGAGCAGAAGCCTCCAGCCCTCTGGTCCCCTTGGGTGTGTTGGCTGGTGATGCTGTACCCCTCAACTTCTCTGGGTGTCTACCTTCCCTCGTCTCTCTCAAAGAGCAGACCCCAACTTTCTTGGACAGGCCCAGAGCCTGCTCCCCACATCAGCCTTTGGGTAGCACCTTCTGGCCCCACCCAACATGGCCATGTGCTCCCTCAGAAGAGCTCCAGCCCCACCTAGAATTGCTGAGAGGCCAGGACAGATCCCAAGGTCTGAAGGGTCCAGGGCCTTGGGCTTCTCACCCCGAGGGGGGAAGGAATAGGAATTGGGGTCAAACTGCACTGGACGCAAGATGCCCAGGGTGCAGGGCCCCCGGGCAGTCCCCGGGCTCTAGGCATTTGTTTCTGGCTCCCTGACACCTCCATCTCTGCTGCAGAAAGCGATGGAGAACAAGGCCATGTACCTGCACACCGTGAGCGACCGGGACACCAGCTCCATCTTCGAAGAACCCTTTGATGGCAGGAGCCTGTCCAAGCTGAACCTGTGTGAGGATGGTAAGGGCGTTTCATTCCATCTGTGGCTGCAAGATTGGCTCTCGGAGCCCTGCCCCCCCCCACACCTTGGCATTGCCCCTGGTGCTGGCATCCTCCCGGTGCAGGACTGCCACGCTGAATGTCTTTCTGGAAAGGTTGTTTCTCCATGTGTCTCCTCATTGGGTTGTTCCATCAGACCTGTGCCATCAGCAAGACGAGTTACCATTTTACATTGGGTTTGTCCTCTCCTCCTCCCTGGCTGGATGGTGCAGGTTGGGGGCCTGAATCTTGAGAGTGTTTCCTTTTTTTTTTAAGGTACCGAGCTTGGGGCTTAAATTCAAGGCATGGGCATGCTTCTGAGCTTTCTGCACTTCTTTTTAAAACGATTAATTGCAATAAGAGTCAAATGGACTTTCCTGCCTGGGTTGGCTTTGAACTGCGATCACCAGGTCTCAGCCTCCTGAGTGAGCCACCGATGCCCAGTGGGTGTTTCCTCTTTTATCAGCTGCTGGAAACTCCTGGGCCTCTGGTTTGATCCCCCTTCGCCTTCTTTTCCTAGAGAAAATCCAAATTGAGTCATTTCCAAAGGATTTTGCTGCTTCCTTCTGATCCTCATCTCTGGAGAGTAGAACAGAGTGCTTGTATCTGGGCCTGACCCTTCCCTGGTCACCCCACCCTCTCCGAGGATCAGGGAAGAGGTGGGGGGTTAGAGGCAGCCCACCCCGAGGACACGGCTGTGCTTCCTGTGGGGGCTGCAAGGCCAAGTCCTTCTTCTGCAGAGAATGAGAGAAGTCCCTGGAATGTGAGAGGCTGTCCAAGGGGTCCAGCCCCTCACTGTTGGATAGATAGGCTGGGGTTCCTGCCAGGGAGCTTCTCCATGGCAGAGGATGGGTCTGCCCCAGGCAGAGTGGCTCCTGCTGCTACACTTGTATTCTTCACGTTGGGGTTGAATTTCCCCTCCTTCCTCTCCCCTAGCCCTCTCTCTCTTTCCTTCCCTCTCTCCTAGCATCCTCTCCCCTTTTCTCCTTCCCCGCTCCTTGTTTCCCCATGGTTCCCTTCCCATGTGAATAGGGGAGGGGAGAGACACCATGGAAGGCCATTTTCGGTTTGGCGTGACTCACCCCACATCCTTCTGTCTCCCTGGCATCTCCCTTGCTCTATGGTTTCTGTGGGAGCAGCCCTGTCAGCACCCTTAGCAAGGCCACTGCTGGGGACCCTGATCCTGCGTCTCGGCCCTCCGTGTCCTCTGGAACCCACTGAAGATGCGAAGGCCTAAAGGTGGGGATCCCCTCTCCCGGCACCCGCCAGACAGCCACAGAGGGGCGAGAACAGCTTGGAACCTCGAAGACTTCAGCCATGTGATTTCTGGCCTTGCCACCCTTCAACTAGAAACCCAACAGGGGCCAACCAAGCCCTTTCCCTTTCCTCTCCCTCACGCTCCTCCCCTTCCTTCTCTCCTCTCTACTTCCGGCCTTTGCTTCCCTCCTCCAGCACTGGGCCCTCTTCAGTCATCTCCCGGTCCTGGGAGGTTCCTGACTGGGCTTGGCTCATCTGCAGCCATTCTCCAGGGCCAGAGAGAGGTGTTAGAGTCAGGAAAACACTGCTGTCCGGGCTGTCCAGGGGCCTCGGTGCTGTCACCACGTTCGTGGCGTCCTCCGTGGCCATCCCTTAGGTAATGAGTTGCACATGCACCCAGCGACGGCCTGACGCCTGCAGCCGGCCTGCTTGCTGGGCCTGGGGCGGGGGGCGAAGCGGGGGAGCCCTCAGGCCTGTGTTCCTTCCCTGTAAAATTAAATTCCCCTCCCAGGGAAGCCTCCATCTACCTTCCCATCCATCAACTCTCCCCACCTCATTTGCGAGGCCAAGGGCTGCTGGGCAGCTGCCCAAGGGTGGGTGTGGATGTGCCGGGAGGGTCTGAGCCTGGGCCTCACGGGGTGGGGATGGGGGCGCCCGTGCTGCCTCTCTAGGTTGGAGGAGAAGGTGGATATTAACTCATTCAGCACCGCTGTAGACCCTTCTCCCCCAAACAAGCACAGAGAACCACAGGTGGGTGGTGTAGCCGTGGGCCTGTTATGCCAAGGTCGCAGGACTCCCCCCCCCCCCCCCCCCCGCAAGAAGACCACCGAGAGTCAGACTCTACAGCTGTTTTATTTAAACAGGCTGCAGCTTGGGCCTCGTCCTACACTCCGACACAGCGGAGTCCAGGAGGAGAGCCCCGAGCTAAGGATTTGCAGGTCTTATAAAGGCACACAATCAACCAGGTGTTTTGATTACCACCACGTGTTGCTTTGCTAGACAGAAACAAGCAACACGTGGTCACTGCCTCAAACTTTAACCTTTCAGGCCCTGGGCAGGTGACAGGCCGCCTCACAGCCTCGCTTGCTCTGTGGATGCTAAGATGGGGTATCGGGGAGAGGAGAGCCTAGGCCATGCAGCTGGTCAGGCCTGACCCCAAACCCCCAAGGCCATGCTCCACCTGTATGACCTTGGACACGTGACCTTGGGCTCGGTGCAGGGACTTGTGTGTACCCTTGTTTTCCAGTTCCTCAGCACCCTGCCCCCCGACTCATTGGATTCAGGTGCCCGGGGGGAGATGGGTGCAGGAAGTGCATCCTCACCCCCTGGCCCTGCACCCCATGGTTGCTTTGGGCTGGGGATCCCCTCCAGGGGGGCTTTCTCCTCCTCCTGAAGTCCAGTTCTTGCTCCCAGCCCTGAGCCTTGGGACCTCAATGTCCTGGTGGCACCTTCACACCCCTCACCTCTGTTAAACCCTGAGAGGTCTGTGGTCCGGGGGGACGTCCGCTTCCCTGGGCACCTGGCCATGGCTGCTGCGTCCTCCTCTGCTAAAGGAAAGCAGCGCACCAGCCTTCCAGCACTAGGGGATGAGGAGGTGAGGGACTGTGTTAAGCACCTGGTGTGCAGTAGACTCTCGATCCCTGTGTATTTCCCTTTAGGCCTGTCATTTTGGGGAAGCAGGGGAGGACAAGGAGAGAGGAGGAGGTCCAGCAGAGCGATTGCCACCTAGATGTCCCAGCAGCCCACGCCTCCCTCAATGCGGACCCGCCTGGGGATACTCTTAAGGTTACTAAACAGGGCCCAAAGGACCTTGAGCATAATCTTTCTGTCCTATTTCCCAAGGATGAATCTGTGTGGGCTATCCGAGGTCCCGAGGCCTCTGGTCTCTGTGCTTTCTCCCACGCTGACTGGAGGTTCTTTGCTCCCAGGGCCTACCGAGGCTTACCATCCCCCGCAGGTGGAGAGACACAGGTTGAACTAATTTAAAGGCAGCAATGTATTTTGATCTAACCTGTCTCTCCAAAATGTGACTATTTTGACATTGAATCGTAATCAAGCGATCAAGATAATTACAGATTTTTGCTTGTGTGTTGGGCTTCCCATATCTAGGGCATCTTTTATGTTCTGAGCCCGTGTCCAGTGGGCAGTCACATTCCCAGAGCTCAAAGTGACCGGCTGAGGCAGTAAGCAGGTTGCAGCCAGGAGCAGAGGAGGCAGCAGGGGTTCTAACGCACCAGAGAGCGGGTGGCGGAGGTAGGAACAGGCAGGCCACCCTTAGCCATGAGCAGTGTACACAGTCCCATGGCCAGGGAGCCAAGTTGGGATGTTTTAAGGAGGAGAGAAATAGAAAGTTCTGGAAGTGGCCAGAGGGCAAAGAGGAATTCCTACCACACACATGGACTTGTGGCATAAGGAAACTGGGAAGGAAAAGCGGCTCCTGGCAAGAAAAGGGGAAGGTAAAGGAGTCAGGTTTTGTTTAGAAGAAAATAAATGAAATGTTTGGAGCACAAGGTTAGGAAATAGGGATTTCATGGACAATGGGCCTGGGAAATCCAGAGGCCGCTGGGAGAAGGTTCCAGATATTGAGGATGGAGACATGGGAGGTGCAGCTGGGTTTCTTTGGGGGGCAGGCTGAGAGTCCTGGACTGCCCGTTGGGGGATGGATTAAATACTGTGTCTCCTCAAAATTCTTACGTTGGCATTCTAGCCCCCAAAGTAGTGATAGTGGGGTGAGGCCTCCTAGGTCACAAGCAGGGAGCCTCGTGAATGAGTTTAGTTCCCTTATATTAAAAAAGGGGACCCCAGGAAGCCCTCTCAGTCCTTTCTGCCATGTGTGGAAGAGGGCTGCCACCAGAGCCCGGGCATGCTGGTACCCCGATCTTAGACTTTCAGCCTCTAAAGCTGGGAGCAATTAATGGCGACTGATGACCCTGTGCCTCACTCTGTGGTCTGTTGTCATAATGAAGTCTCTCTGTTAACCAGGCCTCTGCTTATCCATCACTCACTTATTGACCAGAGATGGAGACCCAGTGACGACATTCACTCGGCTCCGCAGAGGCAGACTTGGATTTAATCCACGATTGCCTGGCCCTTCATCACGTGCCTGTCCTCACAGCCTATGTTGTCTCTTCCTCTGTGCCTGGCTGGGGAACCTGGGGGACCCCTAAACACATGGGGTGTGTTGAGAGGCCCTAAGGAATGGGGAGGGTACCCAGCATGGATTCCCAGAGTTCAAGGTTTCAGAGGTGGGGTCCCTCTGGACAGGCCGGGGTAGGGCTGCGGAGATGACGTCTGGGACACGTGGAATGAATTGTCCGGCGGGGCACCACTGGCAGGAAGTAGATGAAAACTGAAATGGTTTAGACATGAGCATAATGACAGGGTCCCAGATGGCTTCTGTAGAAAGCCTGGGCCACTAATTGACTTCATGCCAGAGCCTCTGGCTCGGGGCTGAAGGTCTTCTGTCTGGCATAATTTTTAGCCAAAGGTTTTGGATGAACGCATTGTGAGAGGGAGCCTGGTGGTGCTTGGCTGACCCCCCCTGCCCTCGGGCACAGCTGTGGGGTCCTGTTAGAGCCTCAGCCTTCTGCACAGTGTCCTGAGCTCTGCCTGCCCCCGCAGCTCCCCCGGCCCCTCCCTGGGCTGGTCCGCTTATCCTGCCGTCTAGCTGGAGGTCCAGCTCAAGTCAAGGTCTCCCAGTAAGTCACAGAGGCCAGGAATCTTGT